TATATATATCGTGATACTCGGAATTTTTAATCCGATTGTTTGTTTTTTTTTTATAAAAATCTCACTTGACGTGTCGCAACATGTAATGACTTTCAGTAGTAAATGCTCGGAGAATAAAAATTAATATCCGAGTTTTTATATTTCGCAAAACTCGAAGTAGTAATCGTTGTAATATCAATTTTTAATTCACCGTTACTACAATGAGATTAATTCGCTGACGAGATGAAATTAGAGTTCATAAGCCGTGCGCCGCGTAGTTAATGGCTAAAATCGTTTGGCGTGTAAAAAGGAGAAGAGAAAAAAAGAAGGTTTTATCGCTCCCGGAGGATTTAACCCCGACGCTATTTCGACGTAACTCCATTATCTGAACGAGTTTCCCCCGAATCGTTAATTTTCTCTGCCATCGACCAAAATTTCGCTTTCGTACCAATTCTACTGTATACTTAAAAACATATACACTTTGTGGTGGTCATATAGTCAGAATCGTATCGCATGTCGAATCGAATGAATAAAGCAACAACGTAACATGAAAATTAGATCAATTTCTTAAATAATAATTTTAATTTCCAATTATGTCAAAATTTATTAGACTAATTTAAAACGTACAGTTAAGAGGAAAACAATTATATCTAATCAACTCATTTTTGTGGTATAAATCGTGCTTTATTTTAAGGTAAACAACATTCATTGTAACATGCACTTATTGTAAGTAAATAATAAAGTAAGAGAGTTTAAATCAAATTAATACATTTCTTGAGTCACACTATTTAATTCCTAAGTTATAATTTTACGACATATTGAGTAAGAACAGTGAAATTATTCAAAATTAAAAATTGAATTTGACATTATGAATTTGATAGTGTATGTATGTAGATTAAGAATTGCAAATTAGAAATTAGATTTCGACTAACCAAACAATTTTCATTTTTATTTCGTTATATTTTTCTGATTGATTTCTAATCTTCAATTTGTAATCCTTATTTTTCAATATTTTTTTAAATTTAGTGTTAAGTAGTTAACTCGTACTTTTAAGTAGTTGATTCATTATTGCATTTTAGAAACGAGCGGAACGCGAATATGCATCCGCGCATTTCCAAAATGCAGAACCCATATTGGTATCCGCGGTTTTCACACAATTTACGTAACAAGAGTTGACGGATTTACATTTGTAGAGTGTGGGATATGCTGCCCGTAGTTTCCCCAATTTCGACCTGCAATGTATCACGACCCTCATAATTTTTCAAGGATCACTTCGTGCTGTAGCAAGTAAATATTAATCTCATGACACATATACGTGATCATCTATTATACGCGGTAACAATATCTGTTACGTTATTCTAACGTTTCCCGGGCACGTATATTACGGAATTGTTGGGAATGGATTCCAATCAGAGTGATTCAGTTATTCCCTAGATTTCTATTGCATTTTCTAGGGAAAATGAAATAGGTTCGATCGGAATCCACATACATTTCGAATAATTCCATAATACGTACTCTCTACTATGGTGATTAGATTTGTGTGAATTTTGGCTTCAAATCACATTTTAATAATTTACATAATATATCTCTTCTCCCTTCAATTTTAGCGACTTATTTAAACTTCCTAGCTATTAAATATTTTCTTGTAAATTATATTAATACTCTAAATATTAAATTACTATTAACATTACTAAAACATTAATTGAAACTTTTTTTTAGATAAATATTATAACATTTCCTTTTTAAAATACATGTGTGTATGTATGTATATATATATATATATATATGTGTACATATACATTATAGATTTTGTAGTCATTTGAACTGCGCACCGAAATTTTTTTAGACTTTTAAAACGTAACAGACTTAGTAATATCATAATTAAATGCTCAATAGGTATCAAAGAGATCTTGATATGTTGGAAATCTGTAAATAATTTATTGCATAAAAATATTACCTCAGCCGGATCTTTAACATTCCATGCACAAGCACTCTAAGCCTTTTTTTTGATAAACTCGAATACTTATAAGTACAAAGAAAATTGTTTGGTGATTCATACCCCTTGCTAGTGAACGCAAATCAACTAGTAAAGAACGCCTGAATACCATATTCCTCTAGCACCTATTAGGAGCATCTGAGCTTAATTTTGTTCAGCAAAGATGCGGACATTTATTGGTGCATGACAGAAGGCAACACAGAAGAATCTTTAAGACTAAAAGAAATTAAAACCTTTTGGATATCATTCCAAGCCTTGATGCGTCTCAAAAAGATGACAGCCTGTTTAGTTTTTGTGTATTCTTGAATCTTATCAGAAACAACGAGCGGGAATTCCGGAACCTCCTGGATCAAGTGTCCTATATATGAAAATACAAAGTATATTACAATCTATCTATTTTATTCAGAAATACTTAAATTATTTTTAAATATATTAGAATGTGATATAACTTTTTGTAATTCGTTCAAATTATTAAAGAAAACGGAAAAATATTTCTATATTTGATATAAAAATATTACAATATTAAAATTTCTTTAAAAAAAA